GAAAATTGTTAAACGTTGCAAACCATACAACCCAACATCAAGAGTGTGCAACCTCTGTTTGAACGAGAAGTTTCAAATTCTAATGTATAAAGGTAAAAACCTACTTAACACAAGAAGTGAAATAATCTCGAAGTGTAGGCACAAAAATAAATTTCTTATTTCCTCCTATGATACCGCAGATTGATCCTGATTGGTTTACGTCACTTTTACGCCACGTGATACTCTTAAAACGTAAAGTTTTGTTTCCATAGAGTCATTAGAACTCACGCCACCGTAATTTTAATTGTAATTTTAACGTCTATTTTAAATTTTGTAATATATGGCTGATGATTGCCGTAAGGCATGAGACTTGAAGTTCCATAATGAAAGTTTTTTCTTTTTTCGTTTATGATTATAAACCGCTCTGTTATGAAATTTATATATAATCAAAATAAATTTCTTAAATATTGAGCACTTTTCAACGAACAAGAGTTGTGTATTATTTTAATACAACACTACATTAAACGATATATATATATATATATATATATATATATATATATATATATATATATATATATATATATATATATATATATATATATATATATATATATATATATATATATATATATATATATATATATTGTAATTGTAAGTTTATTGTTTTATTTTTTATTTTTTCGCTTACAAATTGAAGTTTATTCTTCCCTTATAAACAAGGAACACGGTTTTGTATAAACTAAAATTTCGAATACTAGATTTTTTTCCAGATTTTGGGTTTTGCATTCGCTTAATTCAGGTCAGGTTTTCCTGCTACTGGTAACATGTAACCCAGTACAACCTGCTCCATGTCCTGCTGCCTTGTAGGATACGCTTTTTTAGGCAAAGGCTAGGAGAAGTTAACTCTGAATTAAAACACCCCCTGCCTTGGGGCTCTTGGTTGAGTAAAGGCTAGAGATGGTGTCTCGATAAAAATACTCATCTTGGGCAGATGTTACATGCATCCAGCTGCTGTCTTGTAGAAGGCCTCCTAGGCAAAAACTTAAGGGGTAAACAGATTCTATCTGTTGACCAGCCTCGCACCCCTTCCTCATCTATTAGGCTGGCGCAGATGTATTTTTAATACATTGTTTCCAGTTTAGGATGTTGAACGCTGGATCTTCTTGACTCAATGCGTGGGTATTGCTTGTGTCTCTATTTTTATGACTGGGCAACTCATTCTATTATCTCCTAATGAGGGTACAGCTCTAAAACTCAGTTTTATGGTTCTGAGGCCGGCTGGTAGTCAGGTTTCCGGAACTCTGTGGTAGCTCTCAGAGAGGCTGATTCCATCAACAGCCAAAAAATATCAGAGTACTAACAGTGCCATGTTGCGCATGGATGGTGTCCCTGTTTGTACTTTTGGTGTGCATTGCAGAGGCCACATTTGGAGCCCTTTGTTACGGCTTAGGGTTTATTAATAGTAATGAGGCTATTGCTTAGTTGTTAAATAGTGTTCTGAGTACTATCTATACTTGAGTCAAGTTCTTTATAAAAATAAATAGACTAAAGTACCTAAAACTAAAAAACACAAAAAACCATCGTCATCACCAAGTTCTCTAAACCTTTCATTTACTAATATTCGTGGTCTTCGAAGTAACTTTTCTTCTGTTGAGTCTTATCTCTTGCAAAGTTCACCAGACCTACTAGCTCTTTGTGAGACTAATTTGAGTTCGGCTGTCCCATCTTGTGATCTTAGTGTTGATGGTTATCTTCCTTTAATTCGTAAAGACTCCAATAATCACATGCTTGGCCTGGGCATCTACATTCGTAAGAACTCACCCATTTGTCGTGAAACTAGGTTTGAATCTACAGACTATTCATTTATGTGCTTTCGTTTAGCACAACTTCACTTTATCGCCTTTCTCTTTGTTCTATATCGCTCTCCTTCATCCCAATATTGCACTATTCTTGATGTTATTTCTGATCAAATTGACCAAGCCCTCTCTTTTTATCCATCGGCCAATATCGTCGTTGTTGGTGACTTTAATGCCCATCACACCGATTGGCTTGGCTCTAGTGACAGTGACTCTGCTGGCGTTAAGGCCCTCAACTTTTGTCTTTCTCAATCTCTAACTCAAATAGTCAACTTTCCAACTCGTTTTCCAGACAACCCTAATCATTTACCTTCTCTACTCGACTTATGTCTTGTTTTGGATTCTAGTCAGTGCTCAATTTCTCCACATTTACCCTTAGGTACTTCTGATCACGGTTTGATCTCTCTAAAACTATTATCAAATTCTTCTACTTCATCAGAATCCCCCTATCACCTTACCACATACAACTACCTTAAAGCTGACTGAGACTCTTTCCGTGATTTTCTTCGTGATGGCCCTTGGGTTGAAATCTTTCGTCTTCCTGCTGACAAATGTGCTTCTTACATAACTTCGTGGATTCAGGCTGGCATGGAATCTTTTATTCCTTCTAGACGATTCCAGGTCAAGCCTCACTCTTCTCCTTGGTTTTCCTCACATTGCGCTGCAGCAATTTCTAATCGAAACCGTTACTTCCATATCTATCAGCAAAACAATTCTCCAGAAAACAGACATCTGTTCACTATCGCCAGAAACCATTGTAAAAAGGTTTTGTCTGACGCCAAAGCTCGCTATTTTCAGGTCATTAAATCTCGTATCTCATCACAAAAATTAGACTCTCGAGACTTCTGGAGAATCTTTAACAGTATCAATAATAAGGGCAAATCTGTTATTCCTTCTCTCTTGTATGGTTCAGACTTTGTCACCTCACCTAAAGACAAAGCTGAATTGTTTGCTAAGAACTTTTCATCAATATCATCTCTTGATTCCACTAGTTGCGTTTTACCTGACATAGCCGTCAAATAGGTTGATCCCTTGCTTGACATTCGCATCACTTCAGCTTCTGTATCTAAAGTAATTTCCTGCTTAGACTCTTCAACAGCTTGTGGTCCTGACAACATTCCTGTTGTAGTCTTGCAGAGGTGTTCTCCGGAGCTTTCATCCATACTTTCGAAACTATTTAACAAGTGCTTATCAGAGTCTTGTTTTCCATCATGCTGGAAAGCAGCATCTGTTATCCCTATTTTCAAAAATTCCGGAGAGCGATCTGATTCATCTAACTACCGTCCCATTAGTCTTCTTCCTGTCATAAGCAAGGTTTTTGAATCTTTAATCAACAAACACTTAATCTCTCATCTTGAATCAAATAACTTACTTTCTGATCATCAATATGGATTTCGGTCTTCTCGTTCTACAGCTGATGTGCTAACAGTAATAACCGATAGGTTTTACCGTGCATTAGATAGAGGTGGAGAGGTTAAGGCTATCGCACTCGACATTTCTAAAGCTTTTGATAAAGTTTGGCATGCTGGTCTTCTCCATAAGCTTTCTTCTTATGGTGTAGCTGGTAACGTCTTTAAGATTATTGAGTCCTTTCTTTCCAATCGTAGTATAAAAGTTGTCCTCGATGGACAACACTCTTCTTCACATCCTGTAACTTCAGGGGTTTCTCAAGGTTCAATCCTTGGCCCTATACTCTTTTTAATTTACATTAACGATCTTCCAGATATTCTCACATCTAAGGTGGCATTATTCGCTGACGACACTACCATTTACTCTTGTCATGATAAGAAGCCTACACTCTCTGATTGCTTGGAGGGGGTATCTGAGCTTGAAAAGGATCTCACTTCTGCTACAGCTTGGGGCTCACAGTGGCTGGTGAACTTTAATTCAGATAAAACTCAAATTTATTTGGCCAATCGTTATCGTAATAATTTAGATCTTCCTATATTTATGAATGGTAATGTACTAGATGAGTCATCTACCATTCATCTTCTAGGATTAACTCTTACTTCTGATCTTTCTTTTAAACCGTGTATCAAATCCATTGCAAAATTAGCATCTGCTAAGGTTGCATCTCTTTATCGAGCTCGACACTTTCTTACTCCAGATTCTATTCTCTATCTCTATAAATCTCAAATCCGTCCCTGTATGGAATACTGTTGCCACATCTGGGGCGGATCTTCTAATGATGCTCTTTCTCTTTTAGACAAGGTGCAAAAACGAATTGTAAACATAGTTGGACCTGCTCTGGCAGCCAATCTCCAACCTTTGTCTCATTGTCGTAGTGTTGCTTCTCTTTCTCTTTTCTACAAATACTATAATGGACACTGCTCTAAAGAGCTAGCGTCCCTTGCGCCTTCTACTAAAATTCATTCTCGTGTTACTCGCCATTCAATTAAGTCTTATCCTTTTTCTGTGACTGTTCCTAAGTGCTTCAAAAACTCTTATTCTTCTAGTTTTTTTCCTCGAACATCAGTTCTTTGGAATTCGCTTCCTTCATCTTGCTTTCCTGATTCATATAATTTGCAATCTTTTAAGTCATCAGTCAATCGTTATCTTGCTCTACAGATTTAGTCTTTTCTCTTCCAGTAACTTCCAACTCTTATAGTGGTTGCTTGCAGCCTTGTTGGAAGTGAAGATGTTAAAAAAAAAAAAAAAATATGCAAAGATGCATAAGAGTTTATATATATACATATTGTGTTAAAAAACGGCTCTTACTCAAAACATAATTAAGTCAAAGTGTATTAGTTAAATTAAGGAAACTCGCAAATTAAAAGACCAGAATTTTTTTTAATTTTTTTACTGTAGAGCAAGCGCAAAGTGTTACATCATTAACTATGTTTTAGCGCGCTGCAACAAGAAGTGCTGCTACAGCGACTATCTAATAGACTGCAGCTAGAAAAGACTGCTGCGACAGACAAAAAGTTTGGTTAAAAAGATTAAAAGATTTGGTCAAAAAGTTGGTTTGGTCAAAAAGTTAAAAAGATCTTTTTAAAATTTTTGAAGTATATCGAATATTTAAAATGAGTTTTTTGAAAAAAAAAGCACAAAGTGGGTATTATATGGTGAATATATATATATATATATATATATATATATATATATATATATATATATATATATATATATATATATATATATATATTTCTTTTTTTATTTTAGAAATCTCAAAATGAAAAAAAGTAATGCATTTCCGGAGAATGATGAAAATATTTTATTCAACCAAGTGTTCAAATTAAAGCTTAGTGATAGCGTCGGAGTTGATTGGAGAACTCTTGGACGTTGGTTAAAAATTAAAGACAACATTTTAGAAATGATAGATCATGAATATAATAAAACTAGTGAAAAAGGATATTCTATGTTAAGTAAATGGATGCAAATGAATAAAGAACCAACACTTAGAATGTTAAAAAAAGCTTTACAAAACATGAAGCGAATGGATCTAATAAGAGAAATAGATATAATAGCAAGTAACTTTTTATTTAATAATTTTATTAAACAATTAAAGTATGTATAATAAAGTTATTGTATATTTAAATTCTATACTATTTTAATATTGAATTAAATGCTGCTCTTACTTATTCGTGTTTGTTGACTCGTGTGTGTTTAGTTTTTCTAAGGAAAATCTATCACGCTTGGCCTTTTGATATTTCTATTCATATTTTTGACCAGGAAAAAATGTGTTTTTAAATCTTTATTAATCTTTAATTTCTTCAATAAGATACTCTTGTCCAAATTATTCAATTGTAAAATGCGTATCTACTTGCTATCTTTTATCTTGACTTGATATTTTATTAACAATGTTAAAATGTTTATCACTTTTATTTTCACTCTTGATAAACGTTGGATAACAATACTTTTACAGATTGAGCACTAATTCTTTTGGGAATTTAAATCGGTTTTTTGCTCTAAACACAGTATGCATTTTAACCACATATGTAGATGTCTGAAAAAAAATGTGTTGTTAGGGTTAGGGTTATAACTTTAGTTTTTTGTTACAACTTTATTTTTATTACTAATTATTGAAAAATAAATAAATCTCAATACCAAAAAAACTTATAAACAAATTTAATAAGGCTGTTATAACCCATTAAATATGAATATATAACTTTTTTCCTCTATACACTGTCTGATGCGTCATCATTATAAATTTAACATTTTTTGCATACAGGGGAGCCCGGGGAGATAATGAGTACGGGGAGAGAATTGAAACTTCAAAATCTCCAATCTATTATTTTTAGGACAACATTATCAATGGTCAATATGTTATCAATCTTATCAATGGTCAATAGTAAACAGCTTTAAAGAAGCTAGATTTAAAACATCTAGGTTTCATTATAAAAACAATTTGCGCTGACTATATTATATATAGACTTTTTTTGGTTTTTTTTTTTTTTTTTAACATTATATAAGTATTATTTTATAATAATTTCATTGAGCCCTTTTGTTTTAAAAATGTATCGCAATGGTAAAAAACTGGTATGAAAAAAAAAAGTTAAACCGAATTTACACATAATTGTCTAAACAAAAAATGTTAATATGAAAAGTATAAGAACATTTTTCTAATGATGAATTTTTAAAAATTTTTTTGTCTTTGTTTAAACTCTAAATGAATTTAAGGACTTTACCATAAATTAATATTCGTTTTGACTGACATTCCATAAATTAGATTCTAAGTAATGTATACTTGTTTCTGAGAGTATATTAATTTTCTGAGGCAATTTATACTTATTGTTTCTATTTAAAGATACATTAGAATTCATTTAGACTTATTTCAAAGTTTTTTTTTAAAGTATCTATACATGCAAATTATATGCAGATTGACAACTATTTGAAATCCATTAATCATGTTTATAACGTTCATCGGAGATTTTCATGTTTTAGTTATCTTCAGAGCCCATAATTCTGCAAGTATGTTTTCGAGCCGATAAATATTTTAAAATTTTGCGGTTTGAGTACATATCGAACTTAATACACTATGTGAATATTTTGATTTCTTTTGACTGTATTTTATTTTTGTGGGAAACTAAGGATATTGTTTTGTCCACATAAGTTTTAAAAAAGTTTATTCACGTTTGTTTTTTGATTATTGTATTACTTAAATAAATTTTACGCAGGGGAATGTTTAATACTTATGTTTTTTATGGAATACAGTATATATTGTTTTTTCAACGTTAAGTGGGGGTTCATTTGCCCTAAACCAAATACTTAATTTTTTTGTTCGATATTTATATTTGAATATAGATGCTTGATATAATTTTTGGTGAGAAATAAGTTTTATACTGTCCGCAAACAACATTGAACTCAGTTTTAAGGAATGCATTATAAAGATTATTAATATAAATTATAATTAAGAACGGAAAAGGATTGATCCCTGTAGAGCAACGCATAAAACATTAAATATTTCGCTTTTTTTATATTTCATTCTATCTGTAAGATAACCTTTAAACCTTGAAAAGGTTGTATTATTTAAATCTAAATGTTTAATTTTATTTAAAGAAATGCAATCATCTACTGTGTTAAATGCTGAATGAAAATCTATAAATACTCCTAAATGGCCATAATATCTTAACATGTTTAGACAATACCTTTATATGTTTTGACAAGTTTATTGTTAAAACATGTCTTTTTTTTGTTGGCTTTTCAACAATTGCATGCTCAGTTAAGTAACTTTTTTAAAATTTAATTTGTTCTGAGTAGAATAAGTTAATTTTGTGAATAATTAAAATGTATTCTTTTGTAAATTACGCGTTTAATTATTTTTGAAAACACAGTAAGTAATGATATAGATTTATTGTTTCTTGTTTAAAATAGGTTTTTAAAAGCTTATTACTTGATGTGTTTTTTAAACTTTTAAAAACCTATAACATTTATGTTAGGCTACAAAAATATTGTGACTGTGATAAGTATAAAAATTTATTTTCAATAAAAAACCTAAGATTCTGTACTTAACACTTAAAACAGTTCTGACACGCTCAGTTCGATTTGTTGTGAATATCAAACTAATTGTGTCAAAAAATAAGCACATCAAATGCTCAATCTCAAAATATTAAAATTAGCAATTGCAAAGAGTTCTTTTTGATTTTTCATTGTGGTTGTGCTGCAAATATTAATAACTTAAATACTGCAACCGACAAAATACTTTATCCAAGATGATTTTGTTGCCCTCAAAGTAATGTTGTTTAAGTTTATGTGTTCGCACACGTTCATCGTTACCAATTCAATTTGATGCGCAAGTTCAATTTTAGAATCTTGTTCTATCCCAAGAGTTTCACTCAAAGTTTTTTAAAATTATCTTTTGTAAGTTTTTTAAAATTATCTTTCCTACTCAATATCGTCGCTAATTTCATCAAGACTTTAAACTCGTAAAATACTAATTTTAGTTCCTGTCCTTTGTTTCAACACTTTTTAACTTTAACTTACTATTGTCTGACGTAATTTTTCCACAACTATTGTGACTCTATAGACTTTAGGGAGATAATTAAAAGAAAATCATAATCTTTAGCAAAGGATTTGTGAGAATATTTAAAACATTATTTACATTTATTACAAAGTGCTATGAGTCTGATACTTTCAGATCAACCTTGAGTTGTTATATATAACTAATAATATGTTTGAAGTTATGTTAATACTATACAAAACTTTGATAACAATGTAATACATATTTTAATGATAAAAATAACTGTAACTTTTATTGATATTAAAGTAATTAGAAGAAAGTAACTTAATATGAACAACATTTAGATTCTTCAAATCCACCTGATATTGCTATTGAAGTCAATAAAGGTAATTAGAATATATCAATTATAATAAGATGATGATGATGATGATGATGATGAAAGTTATTTATGTTTAGATATATCAGAGATATGCACAGCACTCAAAAATTATTATCTTGTACACTATGGAAAAATAAATGAAGTTCAACCGCTGTTAAAAGCTCCTGCAAATGTTGATCTAAATCAGAAATTTGTTGATCTATGTATTGTTGATGCAGTGAATGTTCAAAAAGATGCTGTTTTTAATGATGAATTTAAGGGTTTTCTTCAGAAGCAAATGAGTTATACATCAATTCCATATGATGAAATATTTCTGAAAGAAGAATCTGTAATTTTTATATCTGGAATAGCTGGTATTGAAAAAACTTGGTTGCTTAGAAAATTTTTGCTTGATTGGTCAAATAATTTAGTTTGGAAAAATGTTGATCTTGTTTTTTATTTGGAATGTAGAATGCTAAATCAACATCATAATATTTCGAATATTAATGAACTGTTAAATATTTTCTATAAAGATATTATAAATGGTTATAATTTCAGTAGTTATGCTACACTGTTTATAATTGATGGGTTAGATGAATTTAAATATTTAAATGAGTTAATAAGTCAAAATTCGAGGTGTAACAATCCAATTGTTAATGCTTTAGCAGAAATTCAAAAGTTTAAACATGTGATTTCTGGTAGAGTTAACGCAGTTGATCAATATCAAAGTATATATACAGAGCAGAGTGATAAACTAACAATTCAAATTATGGGGTTTAATGAAAATGGGATAAGGAATTATATTGAAAATAATGTTTTAGAAGAAAAAAAACAACCTGTAAAAACAACTTTAAAGGAATTTCCAATTGCAAAGGCTATGGCGTCTATTCCATTTTTTTTATCTTCCATGTGTAAAATTATTAGTGATTCGAAAATGCGTACAAATTGCTTTTTAACTATGACAGATTTGTTTGCAAATATTTTTTTATACTTTTTGCAAAAACACATTATCAAAAATAATAAGTTGATATACGAGATAATGGAAGATCCTATTTATAAAAAAAGGATTTTAAATATTTGTAAAATTGCTTATGAATTGTTTGTTAAAAATAAAGTAGTTTTTTCAAAAGAAGAAATTCGAACCTATGTCAGTGGCAGTGATTGGACCAATGATAGTCTTTTTGGATTTATTGAAAAGGTTGAAACAAATCTGGGCTATTATTTTCAGTTCTCGCATTTGACTATAATGGAGTTTTGTGCCTCTGTATATGCATATAATTGTTTAAGCATCGAAGATATTATGGCCAGCAAAATGTTAAGAAGTTGTTTACCAATGATTTGTGGATTAGCCAATAAAGACCAAAATAGTTTATCAAAATTTCTTGTTAATCTAAATTCTTCAAAAGAATCTTTTTCTATTTTTGGTAAGTTTTCAAATTTTGTTGGAATACTAATAGTGACTTTAGATAAAGCCGCATTTATTTATTCTAGTTTAGTTAAGTTTAGTTTATTCAATTTTCAAATTTTACAACATAATATTATAAAGTTTAATGGAGTTTGGCGCCAGGCCATGCTTTGGTGATGAGTTTGAGACGTATAGTACTTTTAATTGCAAGAGTTCTGATGCAACAACCTTTGCAGTATTAAATTTACAGATATTTACAGATTTTAAGTTGATGATGTTGATGGTTATGATGGTGTTGCTAGAAAGTGTATATTATAGTGCACAAACGCGATTTTTAAAAAAGAGTCTTTCTATTCAGTTTTTGATTTGTTGCAGTTGAAGCATAAATTCGTGGTTTCGTCAAGTTTTTATGACGTTGATTGGGAAAAATAATAACGTTGTAGTACATGAAAATCTAATTTGTCAAGATTTTGATCAATTTCAAATTATTAAAATGTCTATAAGATCATCTCAGTCTCAGTTCTTCTAATTCTTTTTCATAAGTATTGTCCGAGAGAGTTTATTAATTTTGTTGAATTTACTCGATGTTTTAATATATTGATAAATTATTAAGGCACCTTCTGAATGTTTTTTTCAGAGCACCTTATTTCTAGTTTGTATTTGCTGCTACTGCATTGACTTGTTATCTTATTTACAAATAATCAGACACAAACATGTCATGGTCAAAGTCAGCTGTGGTTCGTTTTAATGGGTGGCAGAGCCCGTCTAGGTCTAACATTTTGTAATTATATAAAGTTTTTTTTTTGAAAAAAAAAATGCATAACCTTACACTTATCAAGATTCCAAAAACATGCATTAATTTCTATTCCATTTAATGGCTTTATAAATGTTGCTTTGCAAGGATTAGCTTTTGTTTTTGTTATTTTTAATAATTTTGCTATCGTCTGCATAAAATTTTATATAATTAGAAATGTTGTCTGGCAGATAATTTATGAATGTCGCTAAAAGTAAGACGCTTAAAAGAGATCTTTGGGAAACTCCATTTCTTAAATTTTTTCCAGCCATTTTTCATGTCCGAAATATAACTCTTTGTAGACGCACAAATAGCTATTTGATCCATTTGAAGAGCATTTTTTGTATGTCGAAAGCATTAAAATTATATATAAGTCTTTTGTGTGATACTTTGTCTAAAGCTTTAGCTAAGTTGTTATGGAAAATAATTTCATTTGGTTAATATTAGCCGCTTTGTACAAATGTCGCGATTTTCCAACAGATTTGTTGTGCATTATTTTCTTTTTACAAAACCTTGCTAAACTTTATCAGTTAAATTGTTGGGTAGCAAAAGATCATAGATTGATTTGTATATTAATTTCTTAAGTATTTTAAACTAAGTTACTCACAACATTACTCAATTATTTATTGATTTTTTCGAGACTGGTCTATTTTTACCACAAATTGACGTACATTCTTTTTGAAAACTGGTGTGTTTTCTTCTACATATCTGGAACTACTGGAATTGCAATTGAGGGAAATGAAAATGAGTGTTAAGGGTAGTGCAGAAGCGCCCTTTGACTTTACTAGTAACCCAGGTGTCTTCTTTCTCTAGAAATATATTGCTTGTCGAAGGATTGTGTAGCATAACTGCTTCGTTGTATTTACTAACATAAAAAAAAAAAAATTTTCTTGTTCAGAAAGCCTGTTTCTGAACAAGAAAAATTTATTTCTTAACCAGTAACCAGTGTCCAGTTGGAGTGTTTCCAAGCAGAACTTTTATGTTAAGCTCAAAAATACTCAGAACGTTTGTTAAATTGTGATCTAGAGTAGTTTTTAGCTGGTCTGTGTAAAAATTACGATAAAATGGGTAAGTTACTAAGTGACTTAAATAACATATATCAAGTAAACTTTGAAATTGTATGTCTGCATAGACATATTTGGTTACAATCAAAACTGGCCGATTTTATGTCTTCATAAAAATATCTTAACTCTTATAGTGCGTGTGGTAGAAATTAGTATCCCCGTAAGTTTTTATTAAAGCACGTCCAACGGGTTTTAGAGATTGAGATACAGTTTTTACAAATACAATATCTGATGTAGTACATTTACGTTGTTATTTGAGGAGCGATAAATATATCTTAACAATAATGACCAATTACTTACTCGTATCTACATGAAAAATATTAAATTTTTAAACTTGCTTTTAAGTTTTTTGGTCTGATCACAAAATGTATATGTGTGTGTATGTGTGTGATATAAATATATATATGTATATAAATATATATATATATATATATATATATATATATATATATATATATACATTTATATATACATATATATATATATATATATATATATATATATATATATATATATATTTATATATATATATATATATATATATATATATATATATATATATATATTTTATATATATATATATATATATATATATATATATATATATATATATATATATATATATATATATATATATATATATATATATTATTTTTATTTGTAAAGTATAGGAATTTAATTGCATAGAAATCAATTATCTTAGGAAACGTCTTCTCTAAGAAAAGAGTGATTCGTTGTTCTGGAATTATAAGTATATTAGGTATAAATATTTAACTTTTATTAACTATTTATATTAATTATTAGTTTAAACTCTTAGAAGCAGATTTGATCTATATTATCTTAGTGAAAAAACATTAGGTTCTTGTCTGTAGATATATTTCCTATAAACATGTTATACTCTTAAAATACTATTGTACGCGTACATACAGAGTATGAAAACAGATAACTGTTGACTTTAATTGACTTTAAGATAATTTAGACTATGAAAAACAGTTAAAGACGAAAAGAATTTAAGATAACAAAAAATAGGTAGCGTGGTTAGAAGTTTATGTGATCGATATTAACTTGGAATTTTTTTGGTGTTTAGACATTTATAGATTATTAAGGTATTAACTTTTGATAAGGTTTTTTTTTGCTGAATTTTTTTGCTGAGTTTGCTAAATAAATTTTCAATATTATTCATATGTTTCGTTCATTACAAGTTTCTTGATAATGTAACAAAACAGAGATCAAACGATAGGTTTTTTTTATAAGAGATAATAATTTTTTTTTGTCGAGACTGAAATACATAGATGTGTCATCACAAAAAAAATAAACCTTGTAAAAAAATAAACCTCTTATGGTACAAAATAGCCCCAAAATTTAGACCCTTTCTGTCTCAAACGTGAGAGCAACAAGTTGATAAAGTGTTTCAGTACTATTCTCAATTAAACTTATGGCTACGACAGAATTATTTTGTTGAGTTGAGTTTTGAGATTTACGGTTTTAAAAAAAAAAAACTTTAGGAGACGGCATATAAAAACACCTTTTAACGTTTTCTACGCAACACTTTTACTTTTAACTTCGGTTTCAATTACAAAACTCTGATCAATAACTAAATTTTTTTAATTCTAACGCCGCGTTATATCGGAAAATTTTAAGTTTCATAATACAATCTTTCAGCGTTCAAAGATTACGACCTTTTTTTTTTACGACAACTTTGTAGTCTCCTCAAATTAAGAGAGTTCAAACTATATATGGTCATACTTTTAAACGCAGAAATATTTACTATTACTCCTAAAAATTTAAAAAGTTTCCTCAACTTGTTGTTTTTTTGTTCCCAAAAGTTTGGGACAGGGAAAGCCAAACTTTTGGGGCTCTTTTGTTCCCCAGGCTCTAATAATTGCAGTGTTTTGCAAAGCATTTTTATTTGGCGAAATAAAAAACAAATAAATGTTTACAGTTTGCTTCATAAATGGAATTTAGTTGTTTTAAACCAAAAAATGGCTTCGCCACTCCTGTCTTGTAGTGCTTTAAAATTTAGGTTAAAAGCGCTTTTAATGAAAGAGAGTGTTTTCTAGTGACAACAATAATACTGCTCTTAAAAATGATAAGATCAATAATGTTGAAAACCTTTAAAAAACAGTTACACCTCATAAAGTTTATTAAGAGCAAACTCATTAAGAAGACAAGCTTATGAAAAATATAAAATATAAAAAATTCAGTACATACTTAATTGGAAGCTTTAATGTTTAGAGAGAATTTCTTACCTCACTTTCAATGGAGAAAAAAGCTACTTAGTTAAAACGGTTAACAAAAGTTGAAACCGACAACAAGGAGTTAGAGCATGCGTTTTTGTCATCAAGATTATAAAGGACATTAAATAATAATTTAATTTTATTTAAACAGTTAAAAAATTTTAATATTTTTATTTAAACAGCGTCTTTTACTTAACAAAGAGTTTAGCTTTTATCAATTGTAAGCCCCAAATCAATTAAAATACTTTTCGTAGTTAAGCGAATCCAACAAAGCCACATGACTTAATACAGGTCTTACTAGATTAAATGGTACGAGTAGCAGCAGGATCATGAATATATTAAAAAGTTTGTCAAAATATTGGTTTTAAAATTGAAATAAATATTAGTTTAAAAAAAAAGAGTTTTTTTGATGTCAGAAAATTGTTCAGAACGTGATTAAGTATAGTTAAAACAATTGTTAAATAGCTTCTTTTATCTCTCGCGTATATAATGTAAATAAAATTTATAAATCTATCTTTAAATTTGGCTCTCACATAAGCTGGAAAAAAAAAGTTTGATAATATAATGACCTTCGCAATAACACACTTCTTAATAAAGTTATTATTTTCAGACTTTTTTCCTGCTCACTAAAAACATATTAAACATGGCAAACATGACAATTTTATAGATAGATTTTTAAAAGAATTACTAAAATCTGGAATTTTCTGCTTAATTATATAGTCTATTTAACTTTATTGTTTAGATTAAATTTAGAAATTTGAAACATAAAGTTAAACTGGGCTTGACTTTATGTTACACGTTTGTGTACTTTGGTGATACATAAAAATAGTTTTTATAATATCTTTGTCACATTCTTTTACTTTTCTTTTAATGCGAATAAGTTGAAGTAATGTTAAATAAAACTTTTAAAAGGGATAAAAGGAAACTTTTTTTTTTCTTCAACTAAAAATAATCTTTTAACCACTTCTCTATATTAGTTTCAATTCTATTAAACTGTTTTTTCTCGTGGTACAAACTGTTTCAATTTATTTATATAGTAATACAACTCTTTTCACTAAAAAAAGGTTTCGTTAAAAAAGTAAATATATAAGTTATATAAAAAAATTATTTATTATATAAAGTTATTTAAAATTATATCAAAATCTTTAAAATTTGATATAGTTTTATACTGTCTAGAAAAAGAGGCTTTTTAACTAAAAATAAAAAATATTTTTTTATAAAAAAGAAAAGAAAAGTATTTTACAGTGTAATAAATTATTTCTGCTATTTTTAACAATGTGGAAACTTTCATAAAATAATTGTACTTTATTATTTATTGTGCAACTGTAGCTACTTTTAATTGTATTTCGATTAAAATTTTTATGTTATTAGAGAGCGGGAAGTGTTTATAGACCAATTTTAAAAACGCATTTCATACGTTGAACGAAATTATATTTCTATTTCTGTTTTTAATAATAAAACAAATTCTACTGATTAACAAATTTGGAATAATGCAAGCTAAATCCTTAAACGTTCGGTTGATGATTATCAGTAACAAATCCTCAAAGTTTAAAATCAGATGAATGCATAAATACGTAGCATATAATGTATGTAAAATTATGCAAAATATTATTATGTATATATTATGTATATAATAATATAATTTCGATTACTATATTAGTTAGCATTTTTTGTTCATATTAATAATTGATATTTAATTTTTTTTACAGATTTTCTAAGTAATAGTGATGATTTTAAAGATAAAGAAAATTTAATCATTGAATGCTTTTATGAAAGTCAATCGTTATTTAATGATGAAATAAAATCTTTCGTTTATAAACAAATGAACAATTTGAGGATTTCTATTAACGATGGAAAAACATTTTACGATATTGCATGTTATAAATATTTTGTATATCATTACATAAAATCTGGAGGAAAGTTAGCATATTTAAGTATTGATAAAAAACATTTAAATGATCAAGAAAAAGCTCTTTTAGTTCAATGTTTAGCTAATGTTTGCAAAGTATGTTTAAAACGTCCAATAATTTTCAAAGAGTGGAAACCTGAAACCAAAATTGAGGTGCTATTGATATCAATCTCACGTTATTTTATAACTAAGAAGGATTTTAAAGAAAGCATTTTCCCGTGGTTCAGTGTTTGTGAAAAATTACATCTTCAACTTCACGAAGACATTAATTTTATAGAAGATATTTATGAATGGATTTGTTGTTCAAATATAAAGAATTTGAAAATTTGGTACCGTGAAAATGTTTTTTGTAACCTCGATGAATTAAAGCGCATTATAGTTCCTCGAAAAAAATGTTTAATATTATAAATACGTCAATTAAAAACTATTGTTGTAAAATAAAATATAAATTATTTAAAGGATTATTCTAAATATGTTTTAATATTTATAAATTCATTTTGTTAATATTAACTTAGTATTAATATTATTTTACTTGACTTTAAATATAAATGTCTAAACAGAGATTTATTCTTAAAATATCATATATTTAATTCGTTTAAAAGGATTTCATGTTTTATAATTATATTTGATTTGTAAGTATTTTTAAATTATACATCTGCGCATGACACGGAAGCGATCGTATGCGCCTTTTTGCTAATAGGTTTTTTTGATTTGAACCTTAATGTCAACAAACTTTAACCTAAAGTTAAAATCTGTTGACATTAAGGTTCAAATAAAAAATACCGGATATCTTGTATTGATTGTTTTACTGAAAGCAGCGAAGAAAATGATTATAAAAAAAAAAAAAAAGGTAAAATAACTCTTTACACAAACATTACCATCGAAAAAGAAATCAAAATTGATTATTTTTAAAACTGCTAAACTCTGGAGACAAAAAAGTACAACCACTTGTAACGCATCAAAGCTATCAGTATTTTATTTCTACCAATACCAAAAACCAATATTTTTTAAACGAAGATTGTTGTGACACAAGTACAAAAGTTTGAAAAGATTTATTCGGCTAACATCATTGACAAAATAACTTTTATTAGGCTAACATCATTGACAAAATAACTTTTATTAGGCTAACATCATTGACAAAATAACTTTTATTAGGCTAACATCATTGACAAAAAGACTTTTATTAGGCTATCATCCCTACCGGCACATCTAGTTTCTTTTTCGGAAATAAAACCTATATAGGCACGTGTTTTTCACAATCCAGGCGTAAACCAAAAGCACGTGTATATTACGGGCAGTTTTACTAGAGTTTAACACGTGTTTTTTGAGGTTTTAAAGTCAAATTTAAATGTCGCATGTTTTTATCAGTGGTTTCACTTACGGAAAGTTATTACAATTATATTGTAATAACTTTCCTTACGGAAAGTTATTACAATATAATACTACGCTTCCATAACAGTGAAACCATTAACACTTTAATTGGTATTTATGGTAAATAGTAATAGTTAATTTCACGGAATAAAAACCATTTTTGATACGTGTTATTCTTTTTGTTTTAGAAGGTTTTAAAAACGCAACAGAAACCAAGCGTAACTATTTTCTGAGTTGTGCCGGCTGGGATCATTGACAAAATGACTTTCGTGCTAAAGCTGTGAATAATAAACTAATTAACTATGAATGTCAACAACAACAAAAACACGGAAAGATTAGAAAATGTATTATTTTAGGAAAATTTTTTTTCTGATACAAGTATAGTTAAACTTTAATATACTTATCTATATCAAATTGATTTCGATTGAATTCAAATTGATTTGATTAATGTTTTTTTTAAAAAGATTTTTTAAAACTATAAATTTTTACTCTATTGAAGACAATATAATAAACAACACAAATGTTTATCAACAACCTCAAAGAAATTTAAAGAAAACACCGCAATGGGAATCTTATGAAACTAAGGTAAAAAATAATTAATTTATATTTTGTATTACATATATAAAACATAGACAATTATTTAAAGTTTTGACAAGTTTAAATGATTTTTTAAACATTATAAATTACACGTTTGACGTTAAATCTCTAGCAGAAACTGAAAATACATTTTATTTTTAGTCTAATTACAAATTGCCTAAATATAAATTAATTAGTTAACCGCGTGAAAAAACCGTAGGAAGAGTTGGTCCATATTTTTTAGAAAAAGATTCATACAAAATAAAAAATAAACTTTATCAAATCTTAGTTTTTTTTTTGTTTTTTTTTTGTTCTTTTTATTTATTCAAAATAAGTTTTACAATATAAGAATAAAAAAGGTTCATAAAATACATATAGTAAAAGTTACAAACTTTGTTAGCGTTAAATTAAGAAGAACGCGGACACTCGCAGAAGATCATAAGATCTTGTCATCGAGAACCGCCTAAACAGATTTTAAATAAAAAATAATCCTCTAATAATTCATATATAAATATTCACACTTAAATAAAAATATAATTTTTTACACATTTAATTCTATAAAAGCATACAAATATATATACTAATATCTATATATAAGGGAAGAAAAAAAAGATATCATATACATAAATTACGATAAAAAGATTTCTTAAGAGTGTTAATATAAAACAAAACAAACTTAAAAATATATAAGAATAATTTCAATTGAGAAAAGAATTTTTTTCAACTTTCTTTTCAATAAGAGAAAGCTCCATTCTTGAGAAAAATCAAAAAGTTTTAATACTACTTTGTTTCATAAAAATGCTCCTCTAAATGAAATCCAAAACTTTCCAAAATTAGTTTTGAAATCTGGTTGAAGAATAAAATTTTCATAACGCAAATTGTACTTGTTGTGTGATTTATGATAAATTATTCATTGAAAACAACAAAATAAAAACTTTTAGTTAAACTTTTTAGCTTTTATTTTTGCAACTTCATTTGAAAATATTTTTATTAAAAAAATATAGAAAATGTGAGAATGTGATACTAGTGATCATTTTTCGTTATATTTTATTATAAACTTAAATTAATTATTATATATAATAATTAATAAATATAATAAAATCAAAAAATACATTTCCATACATCTGATTTATATTATAAACGTTTAATAAACAAAGGTGTTTTGCCAGAAACAAAAAAAGGGCAAAAGTATGTCCAGTAGTTTAAGGTTTTCAGAAAGAAACTCACGCACTGACCCACTAGACCACTGAGACAAAAAAAATCTTTTCACATATCAAGTACACCTTAGAATTCTTAAAAAGAAAGTAAAATTTTTTCCGTTTTCTTTTAAAATAATAAGCTATGTTCAAATAAGTATTAAATATGTATATCATATAAATGAAGCTATAAATAATAAAGCTAACAAAATATCAAAATGTTTAAAAAACTATAATAGTAAATCACATCAGCTAAAAAGACTTGCATTTGCTTTAAACATGATTGTTAATAAATTTTAATATATTTCAAATACAAAGTTTTTTTTAGATTTGCAAATTTTTGATATCTTTTAAAACTTTTACTTTACGTTCGGCACAAATTTTTGCGTATTTATAGGCAAAGGAATATCACACCAAAACTTTGTAAATGTCTTGATAGCCTTCGAATGTTCTTTACTGGCTCCCTCCAATTGTTTACTATTTTCAGGGTTAAACATTTAGTTTGAAAAGCAGATATCTGCCCATTTTTCAGCAACAATTTTTACTGCTATCTCAAGTCGTTATCTTTCTGAAAGAATTAGCATGTAAGCAAGCAGTTAATATATTGCCCGGGAGTTATATATAGATAAGCAAATATTTGGTATACCTTTTAATATAAACTTAGGAAGTTTCTTTTCGTTCCAAAAGTATTTGGAACAAAAAAATTTCATGTCATCTCTCCATTTTAATTTATTCTCCTTCAATTGTATACTAGTATTGTCGAAACTCAATGTTAAATAGTGTTATTTACTACGTAATGCTTCAATAAAATATCATGACAGTTTAGGTAAATTGGTTTTAACTCTAAAAAAGTCATCCAGTCATTACAAAAATAATCAATTTAATAGAAGGTGTTGAAAACCAACAAAGAGCGGTTTCTAAAAGCTAACACTTTCAAAATCTTTTAATCTACAATAATCTCATTATCACGCTATTTATTTTCTTAGTGGTAATATTTGTAGTATATGTCACGAACATTTTTATAGATCCCTATAAATTATAAAATTTCCAGAATTGATATCCTGGAGTTCCTCTTTCACTGTTCCACATATTACAAACTATGCAGTTTTTTTATGTGTGGTCACATTCAACAATTTGCACAGCGAAATATTAAAAATTAAAATTTTATGCGTGGTCACAATCAACAATTTGCACAGCGAAGAATACTCAATTGCATGCCAAGTAAGAAATTCTTCACGAACCGTGTTGTGTTGCAGTGGAATACCGCAAATAGTAATTGGCACGACTTTGGTCAATATGTTCAAAAATTGAGTTGAGGAACATTAATCAGTTAAAAAAGAACTTTTAAACAATAACTGGAAATAAATTCTTTTTGCATATGATTCTAGTATTATATTATGTTCTTAAAATATATTAACTGTGTTGCAAATGTTTACGAGTATCTAAAGACTGTTAGTATAGTAAAATACCCAATGAAGTTCATTTTTGTCGTTAATTTAAGCATAACGAACATTTATGATTTTCAAATGTCTACATTTCTTACGGATTGTTGAAACTATTTTAAACAATTGATCACTAAAATAAAGTAAACTAAACCATTTAGAAAAAATTTCAATACTTACATGATTATCTTCAAAAATTTATGTAACAACACAGTGCAATGAATTGTGACTACATTGCTGCCATGCACTATCAATTGAAACTCTTACACATGGTATACCCTGAGCAATGTCAATTTTTTTAGAGTCTTCAAATACCAATAACATACTTTCTTCTGAAGCATTTTTATATGTTACGACAACAGTCCTGTTTAAATTTTGAAAGCTATTTTCAGAGATGGTTTGTAAGTTCCTGCAAGATGAAATTATTTTTAAGCTCCGTATCCACAGCCTAATTTTGAAAAGCTGTTATTCCAAAAACATCATCATTGCATGGTATGACAACTTTTATTGTATCCAATATAGCATTTATTAACTTGGTTAAATTTGGGACTTTTAACATAGGCGTTGTAAAATCATTTTAATTGCAACTAATGTGCGAATCGTTTTCTACTGGATTTAACATTAGATAAAGTTGTTGGATGGAAGCAGTTATTGCATGCAGTTTTAGCAATGAGTTTTTTGAAAATTATAAAGTTAATAAAAACAAAAACTTATTTTTATTAGATTCACATGTATTAAAACTGTTTAACTCAATTTTTCTTTTTAGTAGTACAAGCTGTTTGAGTTGTGCAAGATGACAAAATGCCAGATTTTTTATATGCAACAACACCATTACATTTTCAATTTAATCTTTTTGATAAATTTCTTTTATTAATAAATCTTTGTTTATTTATTTCAAAATAGTTTTATATCAACTAAATTAAAAAAAAATTGAATATAATACAAAAGGAGTAGAAGTTTACCATAGTTAGAGAATAAAATTACCAGACCAAAAACTAAACTGAATTTAAAAACCTGTTTTTAAATTCAGTTTTGGAGTATGTTTTTAAAAAGTTTTGTTAACGCTAGTATGATTGTGTAACAGTAGGTATTCAATTTTGCAATTATCAGGAAGTTTAATAACTAAATATTATATTTTTATTTTAGATGGATTTTAGCTTAGTTAAGTTACATTTGCTAAACAAAATTGGTGGAACAGAGCTGGTAAAAACCACTGCATATCTTATGCATTACAAATTTTTTAGTGTCAAAAAGAAGCATGGATGGTAGAAAAAAATTCGGAAACTTTTTTTGTAAACAAACTTTTTTTTTTTTAAAGAAAATTTTAGAGATACACACTTTCTTTTAAAACTGACAAATTCGCCACACCCCCTTCCTCCCACTTTGAAATCCGTGTTATCAACCGTGTTAATAAGTTAATTAGACTAGATTTAAACGTAAATTAAACAAAATCTAAACGCTTTTTATACGTATAATAATCATATAATATACGTCAAAATTACCTTTGAATATAAACGTTTTATGGACGTCTGTTCTAAACGTTTATCTGGATCACATTCTAATCGAATAAACAACCAAATCTGAACGTTTTGTGGAAACGAGGTTTTGACGTTTAAAAGACGTAAGTGTGTTCACTGGGTTAGTTTCAGAAAATTTTATTAAACGAAACCTCAAGAATAAAAAGCTATTAACTCCTCTCAGTATTATCTGGTTTTATCTACAAATGTAATAAATAAAATGTTAAAAAAAATCTAATATTAAAAAAAAAATACAAAAAAAAAATTATATATGAATAAGTACAATGTTCTTTGTAATAAAATACATTATATCAGGTTGAACATTATATTTATATATATATGTATATATATATATATATATATATATATATATATATATATATATATATATATATATATATATATATACATATATATATATATATATATATATATATATATATATATATATATATATATATATATATATATATATATATATATATATATATATACACAATACCAGAAGCAAAATGCGATATTATAAGTCAATATTTCATACGCAAACTCGAAATTATAAAGAACACTATGAAGGAAAGGCTTACAGAAACCCCAATATCTGATTTAGTACACCACTAATCTGATCTCAGAGTTATCTTCCCTACACACCTACAGATGTGTCAAAAATAACTAAAACTCTCAAACCTAAGACATCGTTAAACCTTGTTCAGTAATATTTAGTGCAATTATAACACACCTTGCTGACCTCTCATTTAAATCCGGAATTTTTCCAGCTTCATATAAAGTTGCACAAATAACACTAATTCCCAAATAATCAGGACTAGCAGAATTTGACCAAAGAAATCTGCGCCCCATATCAATTCTCAATACAGTTTCGAAAATAATTGAAAAGCTTGCTTTATCTCGTTATCATCTACACGTAACATCATCTGTCAACTTCAATCCTATACAATCTGGTTGTAGATTATATCACTTAACCAAAACAGCACTCTTAAAGATATGCAATGACATCCTGCTAAATATTGATAATGGTTTGACCACTATTCTATTATCTCTGGATATATCTTCAGCATTTGATACAACCTATCACAGCCTGATGATTACCTGGTAATCATCAGGCTGTGATAAAATGTAATAAAATGGCTAACATTATACTTGCACTCTCAAAAATTCTAGACTAATAGCAAGTTCAAAATGAGTACCACAGGGTAGCGTATTAGGCCTATTTCTATTTTCCATGTTTTTTCACCAGTATATCATATTATAGCTAAATTTGGTACAAATCATCATCTATATGCTGATGATACCCAACTTTATACTTTCCTCAGCTCTGGCAAAGATAGCATCAACAAAATCACTGAGTGCGCTAATGCAGTAACAACATGGTTACTAGAAAATGGACTTCTTCTTAATCCAAATGAAACACAAGCTATTTTATTTGGATCTAGAAAACAAACTAGCAAATATAAAAATGATTCAAATATTGCATTTTCTGAAACCACAATAACCACAATAAAATCAGTAAATATCGTTGAAGTCACCCTAGATTCAAAGGTCTCTATGGACAAGCACATAAACAATATTATTAAATCCTGCAATTACCACATTCGTGCACTTCGCCACATTCGTGCGTGTCTGACCAATGAAGCTTTAAACATAATTGCTTTGTGGTATTGTTAACTCTCAGCTTGACTATTGTAACAGCATTTTATCTGGCACTTATCAAAAAAATCTTAAAAACTCTAACGAATTCAAAATAACTTATCTCGTATTGTTTTCCATTCTCCTTTCCATTTAAAATTAGAAATATTGCTAAAACCTCTTCATTGGTAACCAATACATCAAAGAATTATTTATAAAATATCAGTTATCACATATTTTATTATCAAAATCTTTTGCATATTTATTTGAACTCCTAGAAATACGAACAAAACAAAATACAAGATCATAAGACACTTGCCAACTTACACGTTGTGAACAAAATACCTCCCTGGGCTCAAAATCTTTTTGAATGACTGCACCTTGAATTTGGAAGGGTTTATCTTTGAACACGTGAAACTCAACTTCTATAGAAACATTCAAAAAAAGACTAAAATATGGTTTTTTTATGAACTTTTCAGACTCATAGTACACTTGTTTAGTGCTTCTGAATTACTTCATCACTTTTGTGATTGTTGTAAATAATGGCACTTTAATCTCTAATTATTATTATTATTGTTATATATATATATATATATATATATATATATATATATATATATATATATATATATATATATATATATATATATATATATATATATATATATATATATATATATATATATATATATATATATATATACATATATACATATATAGCAAAAACATTTGCACATATATTGGTAAGTGTAATTATTTTGTAATATTTTAGTGAACTTTAATATTTTAATCAGACAGCATTTATCAATATTATATTTTTTCCTAATATTGTCACAGCATTTTTTTTTCCGCTATCGCGTACTTCTACGTACATTCTATGAAGTTTCCGTTACTATGAATAACTGAATTAAATTTACGTAATAGTTTGCAAATATTTTATAATATATATATAATTTAATTTGATAGACTAAATTGAAGATAAACTTGTTAAATTCAATAGATTAAAAAATATTTTTTTAAATAGAAAAACAAAATGCTACATTTTTATAATTTTTTCTACAGCGAGGCTGACAGTGTAACAGATCTGAATCATATTTATACAATTTATATTGGAGTTTCTTTTTCTATTTTCGGACTGTTGGGAAATTTTTTATCCGTTGCTATTTGGAAACGAATCAACCGTAAGAGGTGCAACGATAGAAAAAGTGCTGGTGTATATTTAATCACTTTAACCGTCACAGACTCTTGCTTATTAGTTTTGTTTTTAAGCACCGAAGCATTACAAGCGCTGATGCCGAATATTATTCACGATAGTTATACTTTTTTTTATACCCATGTTGGAATTCCATTGTTTTATTGGTATTTTTGTTCAAGTGTATGGATAGTAGTTTTCCTCACAATAAACCGCTTTATTGCTGTATTTTTTCCTTTACGTTCGAAACGGCTCAATAATCTTACAAAAACCTACATAATCATAGTTGTGGTTTTCTTTCTTTCGCTTGCTTTGAATATACCTCGTTTTTATAACTATCAAATGTTACATATAAGTAACAGTTCGGTTCATGAAATGTTCAATCAAACACAAACAAAATCATTACATTCTTATGAATTCGGAGTGCACTGTATGTTTCTGCTGTCTTCTCCATTTTTAATAATTTCTTTTTTAAACTCTTCGGTTATCTATAAACTATGCCAAAAAAAAGGAGAAAGAGAAAGGGCAAAAAAAATGCTTTTGTCTCAAGAAAAGAAAATGACGTTGATACTTTTGACAATCTCTATAAGTTTTTTGATTTTTTTAATGTGGCAGTGCGCTTCACAATGTTTTTGGATAATCGAGTTAAAGAGCCATGATTTAAATAGTAATAAAACTTATGATCTGTTTCATCACTTTGGAATACTTGGCATTGTAATAAATTCTTCTAATAATTTTATACTTTATTGTGTTTCTGGTGTTGAATTTCGAAGAGAGTTCTATGCACTTTTCAAAAGACGGTTTAAGAATATCGACAAGAGCCGTGCCAACAAAAATGCAATCAACATTTTTCGTCAAAAACTGAATAAAAGTGATGAAATCTTATCAAAGTCATAAACTTTGTGTTATTTTTTTATTTTTTACTTGTTTTAGTATACTAATTATATTAACGTTCTAAATAACTGTTTACCAATTTTTTGTACAGTTTTTTGATCCTTTAATTATTTGTGTTAAAAAGTAAAAAGTTTTTGTAAAAAATATAGTTTCCAAACGTATTTTTAAAAACAGAAACTGTTTAACAAAAATTTCAAAAAAATTTTAAAACGTATGAAAATGAGTATGGCAAAAAAGTTAAAACATAATCCATTATTTTGATTTATATATTTATGCATAAATTTGAGGGTAAAAATATTTTTAGAAAAAAGTACTAGTTTTTGATATTCACAACGAAACATAAAACATAAAATAATATAAATAGTGAGTTAATTAGCATTTGTCGATTTTACATACTTAAGTAATTGTTTTTTACGTATTGAATAATTAAGACAACAAAAAAATTCTAACCTACTTTTAGCGTTACTCCTCATACAATATTTTCATAGTTTTCATGTCGCTAGGATTAAATAACATGTTGCTAGGATTAAATTCATGTCGCTAGGATTAAAAAAGTAGTAAAGTAAAGTAATTTGTTTAGTTTTTGTAATAATTTGATCTTCAACTCCAACTATATTGTCTAACTTATGGCCAAATTAGTCTAAACATAACCGGATTGATGTGGTCAATAAATCTATTAGTTTTATATACTTTTTTAATATTAAATAGCTAACGAAGTTTTTTAAAGTTCTTAGAAAAGATTTTAAAATCAAGTTTTATAAAAAATAGAATCATGTTTTTTAAATAAATTAAGTAAAAAATTTTTTAAATATCTAGATATATTTTGAAATCCAACTGAAAAAATTGAAAATAACCATTCCTAATATCCAATCGCAAAGTAAAACGTTCATCTTTAGTTGCAAGAATTGAATCGTAGAAGAAAATTCAACATCCAAAAGAGCTTAAAAACTCAAAAGTAGAGAAGATTAAGTTATTAAACAAAACAATTGTCTGCGGAAAAATAGAAGGGAATAAATGAAGAATAATGTAAAATAGAAACGCTTGACTGGAAATTTCTAAAGGTAAAAATAAAGTTATGGATTTATAAAATTGAAATAGAATCAAATAATGTTAATAAGATCATAAGACGCGGATGATTCCCATACAATTCTTTCAAGTTTAAGGATCTATACATTTCTATACATTTCTTTCTAGTTTAAGGATCTATAGAATATGTGCTAAAATGATAGAAATGTATTAATATTTTAATTTAGCTTAGTAACAGTAAAAAAAATATTTAATGAAGTATAAACTTGTTCCATAAAATTTACTTAAAGTTAAAAATAATAAGAAAATTATAGATATTAAAGATATTAAAAAACTTTTTATCTTTTCAACATTTCTTACAATACATTTTTAGAACACATTCTTTTAACAATTTTTTTTTCAACAGTTTTCATGACTACACTAACTACGAACAGATTTAATTTATGTGTTACATTATGACAGTACACCACTAAATTGGCATGAACAACAACAACCTTGCTTCCAACAAAGCCTAGACAAATTATAGTAACGTACACCACTTCGCTAGCAAGGTCAACACTCTTGCAGTAAACTTAGCCAAGTCACAACAATTTGAATCCATGTAAACAGCATAACAACCACTTATAACTATAAACAAATATTATTATATCAAAAACATAGAAACACTCATATATAAAAGATATTTACACACTTATATATATATATATATATATATATATATATATATATATATATATATATATATATATATATATATATATATATATACATATATATATATATATATATTCTTTTTTCGTCAATAAACAATCATTTTACAATATTGTTTGTATATATTATTATACACTTATATTTATATATATATATATATATATATATATATATATATATATATATATATATATATATATATATATATATATATATATATTTTTGTCAATAAACAATCATTTTACAATATTTTTTGTAAAAATTAAAAATTAAATCTTTATATTCTGAGAGGAGCAAGTAGAAGACAATGCGTCTTATCACCATGCTCCTTTTCTTTGTCAAAGTATCAAATAAGATTTACGTATTATGTTCCTAAAATATACGTTATTTAAGTTTTATACATATTACAAGTTTAGTACATACTATAACATATTACAGCTCATAAAATATATAATTAATAAGATGCATATATACGCGTTAGCAAATCAATATATAAATGTTTTTATAAATATAAAAGAATGTTTTTATTATTTAAATCTAATAAGTATCATTTATCTGCTATTTTAAATAGTTCAACTAAAGTCATGTTTTTCATGTCTCTATTAAGAAAATAGTTCCACAAACGTGGTCCTCGACATGTAATTGAGAAGTCCGTTTTTCTAAGGGATGTTATAGGATGAAAAAGTTGCCAATGGAATGTCGTGTAGAGTATTTATGATTAATTAAGGTAAAATGCGGTTGAAATATGTTGGAAGCATGTTGTTATGAATTTTAAACATAAATAATAGATTTTGATATATGTTTAGTTTACAAATATTTAAAACATTAATTTTTTTAAGTAAAGACTCCGCGCATGCATGTCTACCTGCATTCAAAATTAACAGGCTCGCTTGCTTTTGTTTGGTATTAATTTTTTTTAAAGAAGATGAATAATTACTTGACTGCACTATATTGCAATAACTAATGTGATTACGAATAAATGAAAAATACAAGCTTTTTAAGCACATTATATTCAAAAGGTGCTTCGTTTTGAAAAGGATCCCAAGTGCTTTTGAAATGCTATGTTCCATTAATTGGATTTGATTTTTCCAGTTTAAATGATCATCAAATATTATAACTAGGATTTTCATTGAATGAACTCTTTTTACTTTAATGTTGTTTATAAATAAATCAGGAAGTTTTAGGGGTATGTTATCAGTTTTTGAAGGTTTCGTGAACAGAACGTATTTAGTTTTATCAATGTTTACGGACAGTTTATTGGCTTTAAACCATTCATTGAGATTAATTAGTGTTTACAGTAGAAAAAACAAATTTTAAATTAGACCTCGAAAAAAAAAATTAGTATCATCAGCAAAAAGAACCAAATTAAGGAATTTAGAAGATAAGTGCATGTCATTGATATATAAGAGAAACAGCAGAGGACCAGAGGACCAGAGGAGCAGAGGATTAGTATTTTGAATTTCATAATTTTTTAATTTATAGAGCAGGATTTCGTGGTCGACAGTGACGAACGCTTTTGATAAATCAACGAAAACTCCAAGTGTATAATTATTGTCATCAAATCCTTTCAATATATTGCTAGCCAAATCCATCACAGCATGCTCAGTGCAACGATATCTCCGAAATCCAAACTGTTTAGGATATAAAATATTGTTTTTATCAATGAAGTTATATATAACCCAAATAAATTATATATAACCCATATAACCTTAACACTTGCAAAATAAAAACCTATATAACCTTAACGCATATAAACACTTAATAAATAACACACAAATATAAATATAGAAAATATTTATAAATACAACTTTATTTTTGTAATATTTGTTTAATGACATACCTTGTAATAAATGTTAAACAATTAGCAAAAACAAACGATCAAACAATCTAGTTTTTTATATAAAAACAAACGGATTTTTTTTTAACTGATTTGAAATAAGGTATTAAACGATCTTGTTCTTTAACATGTAACATAAAGTTGACCGTGCTAGATGTAAGGGCTTTGGAGATGAACACTAACTTTATCAAGAGTTTGACATTTGAAAATAGAAACGTTTTCTAGGGTCATCACCGTCTTATAATTTAAATATTACAGATTGTGCTGTTATTATAATGCATGTGTTAAAAAATTACCTGACTTTAAAAGTTATTTTACTTATTCAAAAACAACATATGGTTCATCATTTACTACAAAAGTTATTAAATAAAAATTGTCGATCTTATTACTAATTAAGCTGATAAAGCAAGGTTTTCGATTTTATTTTTGATTAAACAGATATTGACAGATTATTAAGATTTGAGATTACCGCATCGCGTGAGTTCAAGAGTATGAAGAGAAGGAGCATGCTAAATTCTGTTTGACTCCTATTAATAGCGTCTATTTTTTTATTTTTTTTTGAATTATTTTAAAATACGAAATACTTTTGAAGTTTTATAAAGATTATATCCAAACAATGTAACGTAACGGTATTATTCACTCACAAAAGAAAAGATTTTAAGGAAGCTAAAAAAAAAACATCACTGGGAGAAAAAAATTGTTGCGTATGAATGATAATTGAGAACTTATGTAATTAATATGCTCAGGTAATATGCTGCGGATGGTCTGAAAAAAAAGTTGTTTGAAACTTAATAAAGAAAAAACTATACTAAATAAATAAGAAAGTCCTGCTACTCAAGGAGGTGCTGCTGTGGAGGCAAGAAAAAAAAAGCCCGTGGCTAGAAAAAAATTTAAAACTTTCTTTTGATAATGAAAAGCTTTTTTGGTTATTTAGTGTAAATATATGCTGCAGCTGTTTTTTAAAACGCCTAAATATGCTTACTATGTATTTCGAGAAAAACGAATATGTTAAAATGAGATAATTTTACGCAAAATTTAAAATCTCTTAACAAAAGCCACTAAACCAAAAAAATTAAATATAATTGCTTAAAAATTTTATTGTATTGAAAATGTTCATTTTAGTGAATATAGTAATTGTAGTTCAAAATTTTATTATAGCACTTCAAAATTTTACTATAGTGCGTTGGTTTTTGCAAAGAAAAGCTATATAAATCATTTTTAATTTTAATACAAATAAATTGTATTAAAATTAAAAAATGATTTATGAAGCGTTTCTTTGCAATTATATAGCGTTTCTTTGTATTACAAACTACTTATTTTTTAACTTTGTTGCGCTTAACCGTCTCTATATAAACAATGTATATATAAACATATATTCTATTTGTTTATATATAATTGTTTTCTCCTTCTTCTGCGGCTGCTGTATCCAATCGTAATCATTTTTTTCATCTTTTCCAAAAGAACAACTCTCTTGAGAACAAAAGGCTATTTATTATTGCAAGAAATAGATGTAAAAAGGTGCTTTCTGAT